AAATAAATTTTAGGATTCTTTGTTCTATTTCTGTGAAAAATGTTGTTGGAACTTTGATAGGGATTGCATTGAATCTATAGATGGCTTTAGGAAGTATGAACATCTTAACTATGTTAATTCTTCCAATCCAAGAGCACGGAATATCTTTCCATTTCATTGTGTCTTCTTCAATTTCTTAAAGGTTATTATTGAGGTAACATTGGTTTATAACATCATATAAATTTCAGGAGTACATCATTATATTTTGACTTCTGTATAGACTGCTCGCGTTCACTACCAAATGTTTGTTTTCATCCATCACCGTAAATTTGTGCCCCTTGACCTCTTTTACTCTCCCCCCATCCCCTTATCCTCTGGTAACCACCGATCTGTTCTTTGTATCTATGTGTTTGTTTGTTTATCTTCCATATGTGAGTGAAGTCATATGGTAATTGTCTTTCTACATCTGACTTATTTTACTTAGCATAATGCCCTCAAGGTCCATCCATGTTGTCGCATATGGCATGACTTTATCTTTTTTATGGCTGAGTAGTATTCCATTATTTATGTATACAACATTTTCTGTATCCAATCATCCACTGATGGGCTCTTAGGTTGAAACACAACTGACTTTGTGTATTGATTTTATATTCTGCAAATTTACTGTATTTGTTAATTATTTTTAACAGTTTTTTGGTGGATTCTTTAGGGTTTTCTATATATGGAATCATGTCATCCACAAATAGTTACAGTTTTACTCCTTCCTTTCCAATTTGGCTACTTTTATTTCTTTTTCTTGCCTAATTGATCTGGCTAGGACTTCCAATACTATGTTGAATAAGAGTGGCAAGAGTGGGCTTTCTTGTTTTGTTCCTGTTCTTAGAGGAAAAGCTTTCAGTTTTTCACCATTGAGGATGATATTAGCTGTGGGTTTCTCATATATGGTCTTAATTTTGTTGAGGTACTTTCCTTCTATACCCATTTTATTCAGAGTATTTATCATAAATGGATGCTGTATCTTGTCAAATGCTTTCTCTGCATCTATTCAGATGATCATGTGATTGTCATTCTTTATTTTGTTAATCTGGTGTATCACGTTGCCTGATTTGTGAGTGTTGAAATATCCTTGCATCCCTGGAATAAATCCCACTTGATTGTGGTCTATGTTCCTTTTAAGGTACTGTTGTATTCAATTTGCTAAGATTTTGTTGAGGATTTTTGCATGTATCTTTTTCAGTGATATTGACTTGTAATTGTCCTTTTTTCGTGTTGTCCTTGTCTGGTTTTGTATCAGGGTAATGTTGGCCTCATAAATTGAGTTAGAAACTGTCCCATTCTCTTCAATTTTTTGGAAGAGTTTGAGAAAGATAGGTATTAAATCTCCTTTGAAAGTTTATTATAATTCACCAGATGAGCCACCTGGTCCTGGACTTTTGTTTTTGGGGAGGTTTCTGATTACTGTTTAAATCTCTTTACTAGTGATTGATCTAGTCAGCGTCTCTATCTCTTCTTGATTTAGTTTTGGGAAGTTGTATGATTCTAAGAATTTATCCATTTCTTCTAGGTTATCCAATTTGCTGGCCTATAGCTTTTCACAGTATTCACTTATAATCCTTTGCATTTCTGTGGTATCCATTGTAATTTCTCCTCTTTTATTCCTGATTTTATTTATTTGAGCCTTTTTTCTTTGTTAGTCTAAGAGTTTGATTTTGTTTATCTTTTCAAAGAACCAGGTCTTAGTTTCATTGATCTTTTCTATTCTTTTTAGTCTGTTTTTCATTTATTTCTGCTCTTATTTTTATTATTTCCTTCCTTCTACTGACTTTGGGCTTGGTTTGTTCTTCTTTTTCTAGCTCTTTTAGGCATAGTGTTAGATTGTTTACTTGGGATTTTTCTTGTTTTTTTTTTTTTTTCAGTAGACCCGTATTGCAATAAACTTCCCTCTTAGTACTACTTTTGCTGCCTCCCGTAGGTTTTGGCCTGTTATGTTTTAATTTTCATTTGCCTCCAGGTAGTTTTGGTTTCTTCATTGATCCAATAGTTGTTCAGTAGCATGTTGTTTAGTCTCCACATATTTGTGAATTTTCCAGTTTTCTTCTTGTAGTTGACTTTTAGTTTCATGTCATTGTGTTCAGAAAAGATGCTTGATATGATTTCAGTCTTCTTAAATTTACTGAGACCTGTTTTGTTTCCCAACATGTGGTCTATCTTTGAGAATGTTCCATATGCACTTGAGAAGAATGTGTATTCCACTGCTTTTGGATGGAATGTTCTACATATATCTATTAAGTCTATCTTGTGTAGTGTTTCATTTCAGGTCAATGTTTCCTTGTTGACTCTGTCGGGATGATCTATCCATCAGTGTAAGTGGGGTATTAAAGTCCCCTACTATTATTGGGTTGCTATCAATTTGTCCCTTTAGGTCTGTTAATAGTTGCTCTATATACTTTGGTTCCCTTATGTTAAGTGAATTTATATTAATAAATGTTATGTCTTCTTGATGGATTATCCCCTTTATCAGTATATAATGTCTATCTTTGTCTCTTGTTATCTTTTTTGGCTTGAAGGCTATTTTGTCTAATATAAGTATGGCTACATCTACTTTCTTTTGGTTGCCTTTTGCTTGGAGTATCACCTTCCATCTCTTGACTTTCAGCCTATGTTTGTCTTTTAGCTGAGATGGTTCTCCTGGAGGCAGCATATTGTTGGCTCTTGTTTTTTAATCCATCCAGCCACTCTGTTTCTTTTGATTGGTGAATTCTCTCCATTTACATTTAGGATGATTATTGAAATATGAGAATTTAATACAGCCATTTTATCTTTTGTTTTCTGTTTGCTATATATTTCCATTTTTTCTTTTTTCTTGTGTTCCTGTGTGTCGTTTCAGTTTGGTGGTTTTCTGTGATGTTTTTCTCAGTTTCCTCTTTTTTATGTTTTGTGACTCTGCTCTGAATTTTTTTGTGTGGTTACCATGAGGTTTGTATAAAAGATCTCAAAAATGAGATAGTCCCTTTTCTGCTGAGAGCATCTTATCTTCATTTCACTATGCAGGTTCCATCCTTTTCCTCTTCTCCTTCTATGTTTTTGTTATCACAAATCATACATTTTTGTATTGTGAGTTTGTTGCCAAATTGAAGTGGTTATAGTTACTTTTAATGCTTTCTTTCCCTTTAACCTTTATGTTATAATTAAGTGTTTACTAACCTATTCTGATATAGAGTTTCAATTTTATTATTCTATCTGTCCATTTATCACCTAGATTAAAGATTTATATACCTTTGCCTTTTTGTTTCAGGTAGGAGAGCTCTTTTCCAGATTTCTTGTAAGACAGGATTAGTAGTAATGAACTCCCTCAGCTTTTGTTTGTCTGGGAAAGCCTTTATTTCTCCTTCATATTTGAAAGATAACTTTGCTGGATACAATCTTCTTGGCTGAAGGTTTTTATCTTTCAATATTTTGAATATATCATTCCACATTCTCCTGCCCTGTAGAGGTTTTGGTGAGAAATCTACTTATAGCCTAGTGGGGGTTCTTTTGTAAGTTATTGTTATTTTCTCTCTGGCTGCCCTTAATATTCTTTGTTTGTCATTGACTTTGACAGTTTTAATATAGTATGCCATGGAGAAGGTCTTTTTGCATTGAGATAATTAGGAGTTCTATTATATTCGTGTACTTGTATATCCAGTTCCTTCCCCAGGTTTGGGACATTCTCAGCTATTATTTGTTTAACTGAGTTCTCTCCTGTCTTCTTACTCTGTTTTCCCTCTGGGATACCCATTATCCTTATGTTACTTTTCTTAATTGTGTCAGATATTTCCCATAGAATTTCACCATTAAAAAAAAGTTTAGTTCTCTCTTCTCTTCCAACTGAATCATTTCTAGATTTCTATCTTTGAGCTCGTGAATTCTCTCTTCCATATGGTCTTCTCTATTTACAATGCTTTCTACTTTATCTTTTTTTAGATTATTTTTTATTTTTTTATTTTTTGTTTATTGCAGCAACATTGGTTTATAACATTGTATAAATTTCATGTGTACATCATTATACTTCTATTTCTCATAGATTACATCATGTTCACCACCAAAATACTAATTACAACCCATCACCACACATGTGCCGAATTATCGGTTTCGCCCTCCTCCCTCCCCCCTTCCCCTCTGATAACCACCAATCCAATCTCTGTCTCTATGTGTTTGTTGTTGTTGTTATTATCTACTACTTAATGAGGGAGATCATAAAGTATTTGACCATCTCCCTCTGACTTATTTCACTTTGCATAATACCCTCAAGGTCCATCCATGTTGTCACAAATGGCTGGATTTCATCGTTTCTTATGACTGAGTAGTATTCCATTGTGTATATATACCACATCATCTTTATCCATTTGTCCCTTGATGGGCACTTAGGTTGCTTCCAAATCTTGGCTATTGTGAATAACGCTGCAATGAACCCAGGGGCGCATGTATCTTTATGCATTGGTGTTTTCAAGTTCTTTGGATAAATACCCAGCAGTGGAATAGCTGGATCATATGGTAGTTCTATCCTTGATTTTTTGAGGACTCTCCATACTGTTTTCCATAGTGGCTGCACCAGTTTGCACTCCCACCAGCAGTATATGAGAGTTCCCTTCGCTCCACATCCTCTCCAACACATGTTGTTTCCTGTGTTGTTAATTATAGCCATTCTGACGGGCGTGAGGTGATATCTCATTGTAGTTTTGATTTGCATTTCCCTGATCGTTAATTATGTTGAAAATCTTTTCATGTGACTGTTGGCCATCCGTATTTCTTCTTTGGAGAAATGTCTGTTCATGTCTTTTGCCCATTCTTTAATTGGGTTGTTAATTTTTTGTTATTGAGATGCATGAGTACTTTATATATTTTGGAGATTAACCTCTTATCAGATGTATGGGTTGCAAATATCTTCTCCCAATTGTTAGATTGTCTTTTCATTTTGTTGATGGTTTCCTTCGCTGTGCACAAGCATTTCAGTTTGATGTAGTCCCACACGTTTAATTTTTCTATTGTTTCTCTTGCCCGGTCAGACATGGTGCTTGAATATATGTTGCTAAGACCGATGTCGAAGAACATACTGCGTATGTTTTCTTCTAGAAGTTTCATAGTTTCAGGTCTTACATTCAAGTCTTTAATCCATTTTGAATTAATTTTTGTGTATGGTGTAAGGTAAGGGTCTACTTTCATTTTTTTGCATGTGGCTATCCAGTTTTTCCAACACCATTTGTTGAAGAGACTTTCTTTTCTCCATTGTATGTTCTTGGCTCCTTTCTCGAAGATATAGCTGTCCATAAATATGTGGGTTTATTTCTGGGCTTTCAATTCTATTCCATTGATCTCTGTGTCTGTTTTTGTGCCAGTACCATGCTGTTTTGGTTACTATAGGTTTATAGTATATTTTGAAATCAGGGAGTGTGATACCTCCAGCTTTGTTGTTTTTTCTCAGGATTCCTTTAGCTATTCGGGGCATTTTTTTGTTCCATATAAATTTTAGGATTCATTGTTCTATTTCTGTGAGAAATGTTGTTGGAACTTTAATAGGGATTGCATTGAATCTATAGATTACTTTAGGAAGTATGGACATCTTAACTATGTTAATTCTTCCAATCCAAGAGCATGGACTATCTCTCCATTTCTTTGTGACTTCTTCAATTTCTTTCAGCCATGTTGTATAGCGGGTGTACAGATCTTTCACCTCTTTGGTTAAATTTATTCCTAGGTATTTTATTCTTTTTGTTGCAATTGTAAATGGGATGGTATTCTTAA